ACACACAGGGTGGAGACGGGATTCGAACCCCCAACATCGGCGGTGCGAAGCAAACATGCTAACCACTAAACCACCATGTGCCCCAAATCCAGATTAAATCTGAATATGCAAATTAAGAATGCTTCCTACTCTATAAGCTCCACCCTCTTCCCCACTCTAATGCCAGTTTTCCTACAAGATTTTCAGCTTCTTAACATTTGTGACCGTTTTCACTTCACACCTGACCGCTCAAATGAATTCTTTTGAAATAATTTAATAGCAAAACATAAAATTAAAAAAGACGATAAAGTGAAAATAAAATGTAAATCCGTATTCATTTGTAAGTAAGTAGAAAAACATTTACTTAATGAAAATAAAATCTGCCATAACTGCCAAGGATCAGTTCACCTAAATGTAAAATCTGATAATAATTATACGATGCATCTGTATTTCATTAACATTTAATCAAACGTGAAAGTTCACATGCTAGCTTGCTTTGTCGCTAAGAAGTAAAAGATGACATGACTGTGCGATTCATGTCCCGAACTGTTTTCTTCCTCTTATACCTCTGCGATTGAGCGGGGGCAGTGGGGGATTAGTGGTTAAGGCTCTGGGTTAATGATCAGAAGGTTGGGGGCTCTGCCACTGCTGGACTGCCACTGTTGGGCCCTTGATCAAGGCCCTTAACCCTCTCTGCTCCAGGGGGCACTGTATCATGGAAAACAATTTCACTGTGCTCTAGTGTATATGTGACCAATAAAGACTCATTAACGTTGTACTTTTGATCTATTTATGTAAATCAGTAACAAGTCAGCGTTAGTGGTTCCGTTCGCACTTATGTCACAGCAGCTATAGACATCCTTTCTCTCACCAGCTTCTCTCTTTTTTGTCTTATTGAAGCTAATAAGACGCAGAAACGCAGCGTGTCATGTGACCAAGAAATGGCGAAACGCAAAGTCAGAACTCACAGACACTGGAGACTCCGTTAGTATTACAGGACATTAAAGAAACGTCCTCTTTTCCCTTGTGGAGAATTTGTTGATTATGTGACGCATCGTGCTATACGAGGCCCTGTGAACGAGCCGTTACTATAGAAACCGTAATGTGTTAGATACAACGAGTGCATGGATATACATAAAGCAGTGATTTGTGTGCCATTTTCTGACCAGTGAGATTGGAGAATTCATCAGCGCTGTGGTGTAACTTTACTTTATTCATTCCGAAGCTTGTGGTTTTGGAAGTTATCAGTCGCTATAAAAAGAACTGCTACTGGGTTGTTGTTGTTGTTGTTGTTGTTGTTGTTTTTTAAAAGTAAAACATCGAGACATGTGCAACGTGTTTAACGCTTTAACGAGTTGAAGTAAAGAAACACGCGGCTATATTACACTTTTTTTGCCTGTGATCTGAGATATTTCATGGTTCTTTCATCACTGTTATAAATAACGTGGGGTTTATGAGGTAAACGGGAGACTGGGTGCAGGAGCGCCTCCATTTCACACCCTGCTCCACTCTGCTCTGTCTTCCCAGCATGCATTGCACTGCAGAACACTGCATCGGCTGCATAATCACACCAAAGTGCGGCCAGCTTCCTCCAGCTTACACTGCCCTCCTCCTCCTCCTCCTCCTCCTCCTCCTCCTCCCCCTCCTCCCCCCCTTCCTCGTGTGTGTGTGTGTTGCTTCAGTGTTTATTTGTACACTCAGTACCATTAGTTTTGTCTTTTGTCTCTAGTGATCTCTGTTCTTTCTGTTTCTGTCTGTCATTCTCCCACCTACTGTCTGTCTCTCTATTCGTGTCTGTCTTGCCCCAAAGCTCTTTCTAGCTGTCTGTCTCTCTGTTTGTAGCTGTCTCTTTTCGTCATCCTCTCTGTTTTTCTGTCTGACTTTCAACGTTCTTGCTCTATTTCTATCCATCTGTCCTTCGCTGATTTTCTGTCTCACCCTTCTCATGCTCCCTACCTGTCTATCTGTCTTTTTCTCTGTCATTCTCTCCCATTCACTCCATCTTTCTCTTTCTCTCCATGTTATGTCTGTCCCCCTCTTGTTATTTCCCTCTGTTTTATCTCTTGGTCTCTTTCTCTCTTTTTTTCTGTCTCGCCCTTCCATATGTCTTTTTCTGTCTTTCTGTCCCCATTCCATTCTCTATCTTTGAACACCTTTCAAATTTTTTTCTGTTCAGTTTCTTCCTGTCGTGCTCTCTCGCAGATTTTCAGCTTTATCTGCCTCACTCTCATTCTCTCTTTCTGCCTGCCTTTCTCTATTTATCTGTTTCCTCTCTGTCTCTCTCGTTCTGACTCCCTTTCTCTCCTTTTCTGTCTTCCTTATTGTCTTCTCTCTTTCTCTGTCTCTTTCTCTATCATGTTTCTCTTTCTGCCAGCCTTTCAGACTTTTTTATGTTTCTTCCTCTCATTTTCTCTCTCTCTCTCTGTCTTTCTCTCTTTATATGTTCCTCTCTCACTCTCTCACTCTTTCTATCTGCCTTTCTGTCTTTTTCTGTCCCCTCCTCATTCTCTCTCTGGCTTTTTTCGCCCTTTATCTGTCTCACTCTAATTCTATCTCTTTCTGCCTGCCTTTCTCTTTTTCTCTCTGTCACTCTCTTTTTTCTTTATCAGCCCGCATACTCTCTGCCATTCTCTCTCTCCTTTTCACTCTCTCTCTTTCCTGCTTTCTCTCACTCTCTCGGATGTTCTCTCTGTCTGTCTTTCCCTCTCTTGTTCTATTTTTCACCCCCAAAAGTCTCTCATGTCTGTCTCCCTATGTCTCTCGGTCTCTCTCATTGTTTCTCTCACGTTCTCCTTTCTCTTTGTCAACTATTTATTTTTTCTATTCTCTCTTCCATATGTCTGTCTTGCTGTCTTTTCTTCTCTTTTTTCCTCTGTCCCAGCCAGTCTGCTGTTCTCTCTCTCTCTTCTCTCTCTCTCTCTCTCTCTCTCTTGCTCTCTCTCTCGCTCTCTCTCTCTGTCTCTCTCTCTCTCCCCACACACACACCCTCAGCACTCTGAGCTGAATTCCTCGCTCTCATCTTTTTGGCTGTGAGTGTTGGCATCCTTCCTGAGGCCCACGCGCTGTGTGAATTAATGTGCCTAATTAACACCACGTTAATTATTTGTAATTTGCGTGTTTGGGTACACATTACTTGAGAAGCATATGTTGTGCAGCGTGTTAGCCGAAACAAGCGGGTGCATAATGCCATCTCTGGAGTGTGGCGCTGTGTGATGGGCCAATCAGTGCACAGACCCTCAGACGCGGCCGAGAGAGAGAAAGAGAGAGAGATTGAAAGACGTACACACTGAGTAAAGAGGCTCTCTGACATGATTGTGGTGTTGTCTGATAACAGGAGTTGGTGGATTAAAAACTTTATTCAGAAGTGCTGAGGACTGACAGATCCCAGGGTGAAGAGCAGATGGACAAACTGTAGGAGGGTTTTCACTTCTATTGAGTCATTTCTATCCTTCATTTTAGCGTGTATCTCTCTTCAGATGAGTTAGTGATTCAGGTGTTAGTGATTCAGGTGAGTTAGGGATTTGGGTGTTAGGGATGCAGGTGTATTAGTGATTCAGGTGAGTTAGTGATTCAGGTGTTAGTGATTCAGGTGAGTTAGTGATTCAGGTGTTAGTGATTCAGGTGAGTTATGGATTTGGGTGTTAGGGATTCAGGTGTATTAGTGATTCAGGTGTTAGTGATTCGTGCGTGTTAGTTATTCAGGTGTGTTAGTGATTCAGTTGATTTAGTGACTCAGTGAATTAATGATCAGATGTGTTAGTGATTCAGGTGAGTTAATGATTCAGGTGTTAGTGATTCAGGTGTTAGGGATTCAGTTGCCTTAGTGATTCAGGTGTTAGTGATTCAGGTGAGTTAATGATTCAGGTGTTAGTGATTCAGGGGAGTTAATGATTCAGATGTGTTAGTGATTCAGGTGTTAGTGATTCAGGGGAGTTTATGATTCAGGTGTTAGTGATTCAGATGTGTTAGGGATTCAGGTGTGTTAGTGATTCAGGTGTTAGTGATTCAGGTGTAAGGGATTTGGTTGTATTAGTGAGTCAGGTGTATTAGTGATTCAGGTGAGTTAATGATTCAGATGTGTTAGTGATGCAGGTGTAAGGGATTCAGTTGTATTAGTGAGTCAGGTGTATTAGTGATTCAGATGTTAGTAATGCAGGTGTAAGGGATTCAGTTGTATTAGTGAGTCAGGTGTATTAGTGATTCAGGTGTTAGTGATTCAAGTGTGTTAGGGATTCAGGTGTAAGTGATTCAGGTGTTATTGATTCAGGTGTGTTAGGGATTCATGTGTGTTAGTGATTCAGATGTGTTAGTATTTCAGGGGTTAATGATTCAGATGTGTTAGTGGTTAGGTGTTAGAGATTCAGGTATTGTTAATGATTCAGGTGTGTAAATGATTCAGATGTGTTAGTAATTTTTCACTTGCTATCTGAAAGGAAGTGTGTTTTCTTCTCAGTAAGCTGTGTGTTTATTCGAGTTTATTTTAGTTTATTGGACGGTGTGTCCTGGTTGATTATAGGCTTTTCACTTGAAAGTTTTTTATTCAGATTCTTTAAAATGCATGAGCCGTTTGCAGTCGCAGCTTTAATCCTGTTTATTACTTCAGAAAGATATCGGTGCAGTGATGGCCACAGCTGACACGTGCGTTCATCCTCACATCCTCACTAGTGTGTGCGGTTTAGAAAAAGGTCCTCATGCCACAGAGCTGGAGAACCCAAACAGGCTATCAGGGGTCCTTTCATGAAAAAAAACAACTCTTATTTCTCTCTCTCTCTCTCTCTCTGTCCTTTTTCATTCTCCATCTCGCCATCACACTATTTTCTCGATCATAACCATTTCATATTTATTTTCGCTCATACCCCTTGGCCCCCCCTCATTAGCAGTCAGCTCCTGTCGTGTCCTAACCACTGGGGAGACCTTCGCTTATGCGCCCTGCCTCCTCCCTCTCTCCCTCCATCCGTCCTTCTGTTTTTCACCCTCTCGCCTTTTCTAAAGTATTTGTGCGTTCATTTAGTCATGCCGCACTATAGCCAATTTAAGGAACAGGCCGTTTGCAGCCGTTTGATTTTCTCCGTTCGGCTGCATGGCTCTAAGCAGCGGCGCC